AAAGAACTGTGTGTCTTGTTCTAGTTGTGCAAAAATAACATTGTTAAGATACTGTTGTGGTTTTAGGACATGATTTTAGAACAAGAAAAACTTGAGGTTGGTGTCGTAGGGAGTGGCCATGTAAGGATCAGTCCAGCCTCATTCACCTCTGGGTCATGGTTGTACAAACACACACCCAGCTATATGGTTTAGGCTGTGGAAGTTTACCCCTCTAAAAGCTGCAAGCCTGCTCCTAGGCAGGCGCGTTTGTAAGATCAGGTCCATCGTGACAGGCCATAACATCCCTCAGAAAGCTTCTCAAAAGCAGGCACTGGGCATCTTGTCGTTTTCTCTTTCTTCCTCCTCTGTTTGCTTTTCTACTTTTTCCCCCTCGTCTGTTACCAAATTGAAAATGGATGTGTTATTTTTTAAACTTTGGGCTGGAAATTGTAAGAATAGTGGTAATAGCTTTTACCAAAGCCAAAAACTGTAAAAAAAAAAAAAAGCTTAGCTGGGCACTGTGGAGAGGGCTGATACCGTCCAGTTGAGTGCTGTATGTTGTTGACTTATGCCATCACCATACAGACTGGCGCTGCTTAACTTTCCCTGTCACATCACATCTTTGGCCTGAAGTCAGCGAAGCTGTTCCTTAAATATTCAGTATTGCCTTAAACCAGGCCCGTGTCACAACATGCACATTATGTAATATTTTCAATCTTTAAATCAAAATACGTGGACCTTGCGTTTATAAGCCGTGCTGAACTGAGAGCAGCCGCGATGGGCAAGTCCTGCTTTAGTCGTGGAAAGGATGAAATACTGGTGGCTACAACAGCAGCAGCTCTCCATGCACTGCAGTGTGGTGATGGTTTTGTGGTCCTTCACTAGCCAGCGTGGAGCCTCCATGTCGGAGGATGCATCTCAAGCCTGGGTTGCAAGGCAGTACCAGCCTGGGGCTTGCCACTGCCTTTGCTCCACTCTGGGAACCTGCCCTCCAGTTCTGGCTTCTCAGCTTCAGCAGCAAAAAATATCCTCAAATATCTCCCCACCTTGCTCTTCATTTTTTTGTGTCAACCCCACACAATGTGATGTCTTCCTCTCCGTGGCTCTGCCAGCAGAGCAGTTTGTGCATGGGCTGGCTTGGCTTACGTTACATAAATTGTGGAAGTGTTTATTTGGTTTAAATTAAAACCAAAATCAAATTGGCAGGGGATTTTGTCAGGCAGATCAGCTCCCCAGGCTGCTCCTTCAGATGGGTTGCAGGTGGTGGTACAGGGGTGAGAATGAGCACAGGGGACGGCAGGACAGGGATCCCTGCCGAGCCCCTTGTGTCCTGATGCCACAGTCCTCGGGGGGCATGTCCCTGCAGTTACCAGATCCACTCAACTGCTGGAATTTTTATTTTTCATGGCTTTTTTCACAAGTGAAGCACTCGGGAATTTATTGGCCTTCAAGGTGCACTCAGTTGATATATCTGAGACGTGTTTTCAGGGCCAAAAAAGATGCAGAAGAGCGAGGAATGCTGTGAGTAGGTAACATGACCTTGCAGAGCGTTGCTTAGCTGAAATGGCTCTGAGAAGCAGAGATGGCTAACACAGTGTCGTGCAGGGAGCTTGCCTTCTCCCTATGCTTGGCCACAAATTCAAGGCTACCCTTTGTGTTCAGATGTACTGTGGCTTTTACCGCGGGCAAGGAGAGCATATATACGTTGAGTTTCTTGGACAAGACTTCAGCTGGCTGACTGCTGGAAGCCAGACCAATGAGTCCCATCATGGAACTGGTTTGACGTCCATGGGATTTGGAGTGCCCTGACCAGGCTCAAAGAGAATTTTCATGTTTTGTGTATTCTTTGGAAGAAAATGTAGAAGCAAAAGCATATTAACAAGGAAGAATAGAAGCAGCAAAATGTGTTAGGGATTGAAACAACACACGTGCATCTCGAGCCAGATGTTAACACTATGCTGCGTTTTACAGCGTGTGTGTAAGTACTGCCATACCGTGTGTGCGTGCGCCTGTCGGCTCCCTCCTCCCTTGTTGGCACTGATCCTGGTGCACAGATACGCTGAGACACAGTCTTTGCCCTGAAGAATTTGCACCGTAACTGCATGCAGCTGGAGGAGGAAAAGGGCACCGGAGCAGGCAGTGGCTTGTCCGAGGTTACACTGCGGAATGAAATACGAGAGCAGAGAGAGACTCCTGCCCTGCCTCCAGTGCAGTGCTCTGCCTGCTGGGTACCAAGATCATAAGGCAGCTTTTTGTTGCTGACTTACTGTCCTCTCTGAAGCTTGGTGCTTTATAGGTATTGATTATTTAAGCCTTGAGTTGTCTCTGGTAGAGGAATGTTAGAATAATTGTTAATATAGAAATTATTTGAAATGAAACCAGAGATAACAGCAAAGGCAAAAGCAAGATCTAAGCCAATCAATTCTTGGTATAATGTAATTAAATGAGGCTTAAACATAAAAGAAACATTAGTTCAGCTTTAATGACATGAATTGGTTTGAGTTTCTTAAGAAACAGTTGAGGAAATACAGCATGAAACGGTGAACTCCTGGTTATATTGAAAGGGATGGGAGCTGTGCCATTCATTTCAGTAAGGCTCAAGTCCCTCCAGCCTTGCATCAGGGGCGATGCTGAGCTGCCCTCCCTGCCTACGTCCTTCCTGCTGCTGCTTTCCCTCCTTCCTCACCATGTAGCTTCCTCTGGCTCCGGATGTGTCATCGAAGTTGCATTTTGCATCGCCCCAGTGCTCAGGGAGGAATGGGGATGAAGTCATGCTGTTGCCTGAATCAGGGCCTAAATGGCATCCTGATCTTTATTCATACAGTACAGTGTGGATAAATACAGTAAATACCTTGTTACACAAGTCAGAGGTGTTCTCTGGTGCCTGCTCTCTCAATCCACTGAAATAAGACTAGTCATGTGCTTAACTTCAACCACATGCTTTAGTGCCGTGGTGACTTGGGCCTGAAAAGGCTGAATTCAGTGCAACTCCTTTTTCTCTGCTTTTGCTATTACTGTTAAAGCTGGATGTTGCAGTCAGCACTTCCATGTATTGGGTTTTTTTTTGCCTTCAGGAGAAAAAGAGAGGAGTTTACTTTGCTGTCAGCAAGGTTGCTAGTAGTTAAATTGGCCCGTTCTAGGCTTGGCGATGCATGTCTGCTGTGACAGAGTGGGTGGAGTGAAGGAGGTCCCAAACCTTCCCGCTGCTTCTGGTTGCCCGCAAATAATTTTGTGCAAGACTGGGAAGTCATCTCAGAGGCACATCTCTTTCTGCTGTGGACCTGATCCTGCAGGCTTTCCACATGCACAGCTTCTCTTGGAAATTATGAGCATGCAGGGCTGCAAGATTGGTCCTATCATGACAATTTCCTGGCAGAGGGAAAAGACAGAAACTATTTTTAAATGAAAGCTTTGAATCAGAGGAATATTGCAGAGTGCAGCAAAAAATTGTGTCAAAACCCTGAAATCATGGACTCGGCAGTTTTCTTATGCCAGCGGTTTTCTTCTCTTCATGGTTTTAAGGCTGTGTTTTTGGAGGACTGGGCTGAGTATTTTTCAGTGAGACGTTTCTGTTCTCCCTGGTGCACATCATCACAGCATCAGCAGCATTTTCTGTGCGAGTTGGGCTGGGGTGAGGTGATGGGCTCCGATGTGTTCACAGGGTGGGACTTTGCAAAAAATCCCCTGTACTCTGCCTTGCACACAGTCAAAGTGGTTCTTCTTTAAGTTTGCCCAGGAGTTCATTATTCAGCCTTATCGTCCCCCGGCCCTGTACAACCCTCCCCCACCCCATTTGGTTTTATGTTCCTACGTTGGTGTACATTTCCAACTTTTCCTTCAGAGTTTCAGTGCTCAGTGGTCGCTTGGGAAAAGCAAATAAGAGAAAGCGTGTGACTTCTTCACACCTGAAAATTACGTCCTCCTTTCCCCATCACTCGCTTCTGTGAAGCTTAAGAACGACCCGAAGTGCACTTGTTCAGATTTTCATTTAAAAGAAACCATCTGATTTGAGCTGAGATCATGACTTTCCCCTCAAAGCACTCTCAGAGTGATTTGAACATGTGAAAACAGGCAGTTTATAACCACAGTTGTTTCCCTGCCTTTGATAGAGTGGTCACTAGTAAACAAACATAAAATTCACTGCCTCGGAGGGAGATGCTTTAGTAAATTAGTTACAATCAGTCCTGTGCTAAGAGACCTGTATATTTGCCTACCAATCTCGCTTGCTGGCTTTGCTGATCCTGGTCCGCATGTTGCTGCTGGTTTCCCATACCCGCCCTGCCAGGAAGTGCCCAGAACTGCGTTGGTGCAGGGGAGACAATGAGCAGCATCTTGGGCTCTGGAAACCTGAGGGGCTGGGCAAGCCTGCTTCACAGGTTTTGGTCTTCTGCGAATATGAAGTTTCCCAGGCCCAGCCTGGGCTTACAAATTGTAATTTTGGTTGCACATTTCTGGTATTGTCTTTTAGCATTTTTTTCCCCCTTTTTTTCTTCCCCCACGTATCCCTTTTCACACTCCTGCAGTGCTCTGTGCATTATCTGACTGCCTCCTGCCTCGTTCCAAGGGGTTGCGTTTCCCTGCCACTCTTTACCCAGGAGCACGTGGCTTTTGCTGCTGCTCTGCATTGTCTCTCCTGGTCATTTTTGGGCCTGTGGGGTTTTGGCAGCCTCCAAGGACTACCTCCAGGTACCTGTGACCCCAGCCCCAGTGTACTGGCTCTTGGTGGTGCTGAGTTTAGCCAGCCTGATGCTGCCTACACACCATATTTTCAGAAACCCATTTCCTGCAGGCCTTGGCGGGCTTGTCTGCAGCCAGGGATGTCACGCTGTGCTGCATAAAACCACCAGGCAAAGTCTAACCTGGTGATGAGCGGGGCACAGGATCCTGTCCTACACTTTACTGTTTGCATATGTGAGGTTAAATGGCAAGGAAAACCAAGCTGGCATGCCTATTAGTTTGAAAACTTTGGAGGAAAGGCAGCTGAAGAGCGTGGCATTCACCCAGCTTTTGCATTTTTCCAGGTGACCTGGTGTCTCGAGCGATGCACCACCTCCAGCCCCTCAACGCCAAGCAGCACGGGAACGGCACGCCGATGCATCAGAAGCAGGGATCGTTCTACTGGGAGCCAGAAGCTCTGTACACCCTCTGCTACTTCATGCACTGTCCGCAGATGGAGTGGGAAAACCCCAACGTGGAGCCGTCCAAAGTCACGCTGCAGACCGAGAGGTAAGAGCCACTGCATGGTGCTTAATGTCGCGGTGAAGACATTTCATTAATAAATCAGCCTGGCTGGCTAATTGCTAATTACAGCTTGTGCGTGAGAGGCTGTGGAGCAGTCTGGTTTGGTTTAGGATCACCTCTTTGAAATCCCTTTCCTCTCACCGAAGCGCTGCGTGCCTGACCCAATATATATCAAAAGTGACACCCAGTGGCTACATACAGCAAATTGGTTCCAGATGTGCACTCGGGAGAGATTTCCTTTTCCTTTCGTTGTTGCTCCGCTATTCTGTGTTTTGGAAAAGAAAATGAGAACTTCTATTTCTGGCCTAGCAGGTTCGGGTTTAAATGTGTTTGTTCTGCACGTTAATAGGGCTCGACAGCTGCGATTAGGGAAGTGGAAAATGAATAGAGTAGTGTGTAGAAAGGAGAGGTCCTTACAGATGCTGGGTTCCAGCCGTGTCAAGTAACTGGGCACAGGAGTAACCTCGGGGCTGCTCCGCAGGGGGACATGTCAAGCTTTGACTGTGCTGCTGTTGTCCCTTCTCCGGGGATGTCCAGGGCAGGAGAGGCACGCTTGAGGCCCCCTCCTGACTCAGGGTCTGCCCTAAGGTGAGGAGACGCCGCTGAAGGTGGTGATGGGGTTACCAAATGCCTGCTGGCAGGCAGGGTTTCCCGGTGCAGGGCAGCGCTGCACCCAGGCACTGCAGAAAGCAGCCAGGACAATTTTCTGGCCAAGAAAATAAAGCCATCTCCTGTCAGAAGCCCAGCAACCCCCTACTAACATAAGCCTCCACATGTGTGCAGAGGCTTGCTGTGCTGTTTCCCTGCCATGCTTCTCACCAGCCCTAAACCAGGCTTCCCCAGGACGGGGACCAGAGGAGGGGCTGGTGCTCCGAAAGTGCGGGGTGTTCATTTTTGGGTTGGGTATGGTGGTGATGCAAATGCAAACTGCTTTTTCAAGCTGGGCTCCACATTTACATCCCAGTTTATATATCGTGCTGTACGTGAGCCAAACTCTGATCTGCACGTGTGCCCTGAGAGCTGCGCATACGGGGCTTGGTTGTTGTTTCAGTATGAGGTCTGCATCTCAAAAGCAGCATTTGAGAATCTCATCGTATGTGTAATTGTAAGTGGTATATAATATGATATCTTCATTGGAATAATTTTGTATTGATTCATAGAAGAGCATACAAGATGAAACTCTGGCATTAATGATGGTACTGGGAATTTTGCCATTTGCCTTTGGATGGCATTTTGTTTCTTTTCAAGTTTGGGTCGCTCCATGAGCATGTTTGTTGCTTTTTGCTCCATTGTTTCCAAAGTATGAAAAAACCCAGAAGGGAAATGACAAGAATCCAGAATTTTCTCATTTTCTAAATTATTTTTAATTTCATTATTTTTCAGCCAGCCTTGTTATTAGAGAAATCCTAACTCCTGTCCAAGAGTGGTTGGTATGCACAAAAAAAGAACCAAAATTAGAAAATACCCTCACTTGATCTGTAGTCCCCATCTGTGGGACTCAGTAATGCCACTGGAACCAGTGGGAACATGAAAGTGAATAATGCAGAGGCTCTGGTTTTGTAAGATTTCTGCAGGCTTTCCCATGGAAAGGGAAAAGAGCAGGAATATTTGAAAAATCACTTCTAGCATTTGCTTTAATAGGTTTTCCTTTCTCTGAGGTCGCCTTAATACGCGTTCTCTTCATTGGAGCACTTTGAAACGCTGATTATTTAAAGCGATTGTTCTTCTTTGCTTTATTTTGAATCCTCCATCTGGCAGGATGTCTTCCTTTGGCAGGCCAGTTGAACAACTGCGGTGTGCGGTTAGGGCCAGAGCAAGTACTCGGTGTTATTGCCAAGAGCTCGTGGTCACTTTTGGAAGGAGCAGATACTCCTCTCGTTGCCTAATCCAACATGCGTTAGTACTTAGCACTGGAGTGGGAGCGATGCACGGGCCCGGCTCTTTCCATGGGGTTGTGCTCTGGAGCTTCACCAGCTGGATGTAACCATCCTGTGCTGCTCAGAGAGGAGATGGGTGAAGCTGACTTCTCCTTAGTGCTCTTCCTGACGATTTCCCATCCTTTCTTTACATGCAAGCATGCTTTGTGGTCCATGACTTAGTTCTGATGGTTTTGTTTTCCCTGATGGGTTTCTGTGTGTTGCAGGGAGTGGGTTTGTTAAACATGATGTTTTTATATGTAGAATATTCGCAAGTTTTGTGCCTTACCTGTGTACCTTATTCCCTCTGCTTGTCTCCGGCTGCGACACTTGCTTTTGTGTTAGAAGAAGCCCAGAAGGAAGCAAGGAGGTCCAGGCGTCTCTCCCCATCCTTGGCCTCTCTGTCCCTGCTGCTGCAGAGAAGCCAGGACTGTGTGGATCTGGCTGTTGACAGTATTTCCATGAAACAGGGGTTGTCCTTGGCTCATGTGAAGCCAACTTGGCTACTGTCTTGGTCCCCTTCTCCCTGACTGTGCGTGCCCAGGGAGGAGGGGGTTGCGGGATGCAGGGCTCGGTGGCCCTGTGAGAGCTGCTTTAATCCATCCCACTCATCTTCAACCCACCTGGATTTCAACTCTGAACCGGGTTGCATTAGGGGAGCCACAAAGTCTCTGCATGTCCATCTGCGGAGGCTGGATATGGGAGTGAATCCGAAGCGTAATCCGCACGACCGCTGTGACGGCAGACCTGCCTGGCTTAGCGCTTTCTAGCCCTGAAAGTGGTACCTCCGTCAAAGTCTTTGGGGACACATAAAATGGGATGTTTACCTTTTAATAAATCCGACGTTTTGTTTCTAGGGAGTATTTCCTAGGGAGTGTTTCTCCCTGTTTGCTCTTCGTGGAGGTAAAGAAACAAGAATGCGGTGTGTTTTCAGCAGTGTTTGTCTTTACGTGAAATAGATGGGGAAAATGATTATATGGCGAGGTTCTTGGGGGGCCTGCTATCATGCAAGGGGGAGGAGGTGGAATGTGGCCAAGATCGCTCAGAAAACCTGGAAAAGATTGCCCACTTCCTAAACGACAACAAACCCAACCATAAGATGGATGTGTGACCCCCTCCCACCCCATGTTCATATTCTTCTTTCAGTCTGGTCACTTTGGAAGAAACCCTCTGATGTTCTGGCTGCGTTGTTGGCACAAACACAAGTCAGCCCTGCTAGGGTGGGTTATCTAATGGCCTCAGGTACCGTGTAGGTGGCTACTTTGGCAGGCATGGAGGTACAGGAGGGGGTTTGGACCTGTTTGTGGGGTCCCCCTTCCCTAACGCACCCAGCGGGGATGCGGTGGAGACGTTTGTCTTGTGCTGGGTATTGCCTATGAAAGTGGTGCTCCTCCGGTGCTGCCACCTGCGGGCGGCTGCAGATTATTTGGGTGGTTCATTCTTTCGCTTTCCTGGGAATTTAAAAAAAAAAAAAATTGAAGATGGAACCAGTGTAACCAAGACTTCTTCCTTGCTTGCTGCTTCTGGTTTGATGAAAGTATCTGTCCCGTGGTTGTGTTTGCTTCTCAGCCTCTATAACACTTCCGAAATTATGGCAAGTAATTTCTTAAGCACCGGAAAGCTCAGAATCTGTAGTTGCAGATTTGTGTGATGGTTTTTTCCTTAAGTGGTTCCTTACCCACTTTCATCCACAGCTGTATTGACAAAGTCCTCATTACTTCCTAACCCTCCATGTTCCCCATTAACAACTCATTGAGAAGCAGCAGCTCAGCCGGGCCAGAACCACCCATTAATTCTGCTCACACGGCAGCAAAGTTCCCTCTCCAGCGTTTCCTCTGCCGTTCCGTCTTGGAGGAGCATTAACTCCCTGTACTGCGCGGCAGCCTTTAGCTTTTCCCCTCGTGTCTTAATGGCATTGATGGATACGTGTCTGGTTTTAACCTTCTTTTCACTTTCCTTCACTATTTTTCCGTGTACGTGGATCAATCTCATAGGAAACCCCCATGGGCTATTGCTTACTTTTTGTTTTTCTGCCTGCCTTGCACGCGCTCACACAAACATACGTGTCCCCGGCATGTGCACGCACATGCAAACTGTAGCCTGTGGTCATTTGTGCTTAATGGGAAGGTTTTGGATTATCATCTGAATATTGGTTCATGCTTTGGATAGTTATTAGTGTATCTGGCTAATTAATATGACACAACCCTCTTAGTGAGAGGAATGTTCCACTGCTGTAATAGAACCTGAGCTCATCCAAAGCACCTTTGTAACTGGTACAGCCGTATCCATTGTACACGTTATACCCGCAGAACAATTTCAGTAAAAACAATCTCCAGTAAGATAACTAGGGTACTGTACCACGTAAATCAGGGACAAACTCCACAGGTAGGGCCGTCTCCAGGAAGGCCAGCAGAGAGTTGAGGGAATGAGGGGGAATGCTGATGCCTGGGTAAAGTGTTAGCACTGGGAATGTAGAAGTCCTGCTGTGAAACCTGTTCACCTGGCAACCTACATCCGAGGAAGTCGTGACACTGCTTGATGTGCCAAAAAACGTGGCCTCGCTGAACTCAAAGTTAACACCAGGATTGATTTCACTGGGAGCCACTGAAAAGAAATCCCAAATCCATCCTTACGTAAATCCTCTGGACTTGCATCCTAAATGTCAAACTTCCCACTTTTAAAATATCCCATCAGAACAGATACTGACAGCAGCCTGCAGTGTGTGAGAATGCACACGTACAGGAAACAGTTTCGGCAGCGTTCGCAGCTCGGCTGTCAGACGGTCTGTCCTTGCTGGGCTGGGACTGCATTCAACATCTGATTTATCAAGCTAGATTTACGCTGTCCGTGGAATGGCTGTAGGATTGTTTTAAATAGAGAGATTTGCGTGCGGCGCTGCAAGAACGGCGCATTACCTGGGCCGTTCTGCACCGCGCTCCCGACGCTGGCGTCTCCTCAGGGATTGGTGCCACGGCCAGTCGTGTCAAATCTGATGTCAAAGCTGCCTCTGAAACGCTTCCCTGCTGCGGTTGCTGGCCGAGCCATCGCTCCAACACGGCTGCGTTTCCA